TAAGAACGTATCTAATATGTACTACGATAGAGCAGTTTCGCGCTCGGTTGAACCCTGACCCTGATATCTGCGTGGCAACCAATCCGCCCCACCAAATCGCCCGTGGTCAACCAACAGCAGCCAATGCCCAGTCAATCAAAACAAAATGTATCTTAATAAATTATATCTTAATAAATTATATCTTAATAAATAAATGTGCTATCTACTATCTTCTATAGTGTACCTACTGGAATACACTTTAAGGGGTACTTTGGTACATGTATCTTTGGTGCGGTTCCCCGCTGGCACGCCGGCCCATAACCCTAACCCCGACCTCTGTGTGGCAAACAATGCGCCCCACCTAGGCCGGTCAACACCCGGATCAATACCCAGTCAACAGCCGAGCCCATTCAATTAAAACAAAATGTTGGAATACTATAAATAGGGACTGCCCCCCCCCCATCCCACCATCTTTTAAAACAATTCTGATCAATGAAAAACAACAATGAATTCCATAACATGCCGTAAATGCAAATGGGAGAAACCTCTTGAAGAATACGATCAAGATAATCAAGGAGAACCACGCAAATCATGTTGTACATGTTTGGTAAGTATTATTGAATCTTTCCGGGTGACAGTTATACTTTGCTCTAACAAATTGTATAACAACTAGAGAGAGAACGAAGAATAGCATGTAAAGCCACAAGATTTATGGAGGAAGAAAATAATATAGAGGTATTACGATTTTGGTTTTGAATATTTTTTCGGATGGTTTCTAACAGTAATCCAGCTACGTCCGGTTTTACCAGTTGTAGCCCCCTCTCCAATGGCATTTCTATCTTCCCGAACAAAATGGTCACTATTAATACTTGAGCGTATTACAATTGTTTGCCAATCATGCAAAGCTTTGCATTGGCTAAATGAACGTTCAAGCTGCACCGGGAGCTCAATTCAAACACCAATCTTTGAGAATTGTTGCAAGAAGGGAGACGTTGTACTTGAAATTCTTAAACCCCCTTCTGATTATCTGAAGTACCTGTTGAAATCTTTAGAAACTGTCCCAAGAAACTTCCGGAAATATATACGGGAATATAATTCAGTACTTGCGTTTACCTCAGTCAAATACAATACGCATACAAGAGTTGGCGCAAATGGCGGTGGTATAAGTTGCTTCCAAATTCATGGTGAATTATATCATCTGCAGGGACCATTGGTACCAGCAATCGGAGCAACTCCTTCCTTCGCCCAACTATATTTCTACGATCCAGAATATTGAGCCCAAGTACGACATGCAACACATCCAACTTTAGATATTATGGTACTTCAACGTCTCACTATGGAGTTAAATTCAATAAATCCGTTTATTGAATTTTATAAAACAGCAAAAGAAAGATTGGATAATGCTTCAACACAAGATGGGAATGCACGCGTCATACTTAATCCACGTCTTCAATTGATAGTTGAAACAGGAGCAGATAAACGACGAAACAACTTACCTACAAGTAACGAGGTGGCGGTAATAATTCCCGATGAATATGAAGAAGCTGGATTCCGTGATATCGTATTGGCACATAGAAATCCATTGCCAAATCAAATGTTCAGTATCATCAATCCTAACCATGCTGTGTATATGCCATTGCATTACGAATTGCTTTTTCCAAATGGGGATACCGGTTGGTATTGGAGTTTACAACTTCGAGATCGATTGAATAATCGGAAAGTATCGTGTTTAGGTCAACGTGAATTTTATCGGTATGTTTAATATATTATCATAGAAATCATTACTAACTTATTACAAAGCTATCGTATTCATTCACGTTCAACCGAGCCTTTAACACTATTTCAATCTCAAAAGCTTTTTCAGCAATATTTGGTTGACGCATGGGCTGTATGTGATCAGAACAAACTAAATTGGATACGTTTGAATCAATCAAGACTCTGATCCGATTTGTATAATGGCCTGGCCGATGCTATACTTCAAGAAGACTTCAAACCAGAACAAACTGGACGGAGAATAATACTTCCTAGCAGCTATAGTGGTGGTGATCGTTATATGCAACAATTATACCAGGATTCAATGGCTATCGTAAGACACTTCGGAAGACCTTCACTTTTCATCACATTTACAGCGAATACTAAATGGTCGGAAATCGTTGCAGAGTTACTTCCAGGTCAAACAGCTGTCGATGGTCCAGATCAAGCACTTCGACATATGTCAGACATTTAAACCACTACACTAGGTAGCAATAGCTATGCAATATAATTCCGGAAGTTTATATTAAAGCAAACTCCATTAAATTACACATACTTTCAGCTCACTGGCACTGGCATCGGTACTGTAAAAACCGGACTCACCACACCCACCCGCCCTTCCCAAAATTTGGTCACATTCAAGCTCACACTTCGCCCTGGCGAGGTGGCCAACTGCTAGTCTAATATGTACTGGAATATAATTCTTCTGAGATTGCTGCAATCTGATTGGTTGACAGTGACAGGGGTGTTTTGTAAGCACGACACATCAAATTCGTGTATTTGGCGCAGTTACCCTGCCCGATTTTGTTCTGTTACCCTTCCTATTTTGAGATGGTTACCCCACCCGATTAGTGCGGTTGCACTGCCTGCTCTGAGCCATTACCCTACCTTTTTTCTGCGTTACCCTAACTTTTTTGGGCGTTACCCTGCCTGCTCAGGGCCGTTACCCTGCCTATTTTCCTGCCAAGCCCAAACCCTAACCCTGACCTTACCCATGAGACCAGCCCAACCAACGGAACCCTTTATGATTAAATAATAAATATAGCTATTTAGTAGTCAAATATGAGCAGAATAGGCGAGAGAGACGAACAGTAGTTGGCGGGGAGTGTGAAGAGGGAGAGGGAAGACCAGTAAGAGGGGGAGAGGAGATGCCAGTGTGGTGGGGGAACGGTGAAGGGAGCTGGAATATATCAGAGCTGGCACTGGAGCCGGTACTGGAGCTGGTAATGGAGCTGGCACCGGAGCTGGCATATAGTTGAGTGGGCACCGGAAGGGGCATTGGAGCCGGCATTGGAGCTGGGACAGGAGCTGACATCGAGGCGAACGGCGGAGTAGTCACTCGAGCGGTCACCGGAACGGACACAAGAGCAGGAACACGAGCAGGAACACGAGCGGGAACAGGGGTGGGCACAAGAGCGGGAACAGGAGTGAGCGTTAGAGCTGGCACCGGAGCGGGTACTGGAGCGGGTACCGGAGCTGCCACCGGAGCGGGCATCAGAGCTGGTACTGGAGCTGGAAGCGAAGCGGGCACTGGAGCTTGCAGAGAAGCGGGCACTGGAGCTTGCAGAGAAGCGGGCACTGGAGCTTGCAGAGAAGCGGGCACTGGAGCTGGCATGTATCTGAACCGGCACTGGAGCCGGCATCTAATGGAGCTGGCACTAGAGCGGGCATTAGAGATGGCATTCGGGCGGCTCTGGCTAGAACTTGCATATATTTGAGCTGAGACCGAAGCTGACACTGGGGCTGACCTTGATTTTAGCTCGCATTGAAGTGGGCACTAGAGCTGGCACTGGACCTGGCATTGAAAATCGGAAATAGATCTCCAGAGCAAGATTTAGGCATTTATGCGATATGGCCGGGAAAACAGACCATGAGACGGCTAAGACAAAATCAACTGATTACTGGAGGTGCCTAGATACTACACATAGGTGGGAGAGAAGGGGACCTCGCGGTCGCGAGTTGGCGCACCTCTAGTAAGTATGAACCAATTATTAATGATATCAATCAAGTTCACTGCTAATTACTGATTCGAATATTTTCCTGACAGGTATCGACTCCTATTTAGTATTGAACCATCATACAGAAAGCTTATCTTATCGGTATACACTTTACTTGCCATTCCGATTTGTATGCATACGTATCAAGCGATTGCCAAAAATCCTCACAAATCTTATTTAGTATTCCTGATTTACATTCTGTCACAACAAGTGTGCATACAAATCGAATCATAACAAACCATACCAACAAATCTCAATTGCAAACTCTGATGCAGTTTCTGTTTCGATTGATATTTATACCTCTCAAGCTATCACAAACAGTAGTAACCAATTTCACCATTAGTGTTTGCTTTACATGTTGTCCTAGTAGACATGCATATCTATCCAGCGATTCAATATTGCTCAGTAGTGTCTAGAACAATAATACTATATAACCCGAAGACTGGTAATTGCAACCTTCATGTTTACGTATCGGAATTAGAATGTAGGACAGAATACTGAGGTGACACTTTTCTATCTGTTTTTCTTCAGGTCGTTGTTATTCCATTGGTACGAAATTCAATTTTTGGTCAAAATGTAACAGATCAATGTGTATTTGGTGGTGGTTGGAACCTGGATGTGGGTAGTTAGGGTTACGAGCGTTGAAGTGGGATTTTGGTTAGGGTTAGAGAATACGGTTTTCGGTCAAAATGAAATACTTGAATGTGTATTTGGTGGTGGTTGGAACCTGGATGTGGGTAGTTAGGGTTACGAGCTTTGAAACTTAGTAAAGCGGTGACCTGGAGTACAGAATCCGAGAGCGTAAGAAACAGCGGAGACAAGAAGTGGGATTCGCCCGATGCGGTAACCCGCAGTTCGTAATCCGAAATTTATGTATTCCATCGAAGCAGAGGATGGGGAAACGCGGCATCATTGAATTTCGTGCGCCGTCATGATCGTGGGCTCGAGACGGTGCGTTCGGTGCCATGCAGTCATCGATCGTTGTACCCGCCCGGTGAGTGGTGGTGCCGGGAGTGAACCAGGATGGGTCGCCAAGACTCACAGTGAGTTACCCTACTCAACAGCCCCCAACCACCACCTCCGCCCCCGCAATCACGACCACAACCCCCTGTACGCGCATACCTGATGATGGCAATGGACTCGGGTCGTCCTGTTCGACCCATAGCCACGGAGCCCGGAATTGTGGGGCGACGGTTCCCGGGCAACCTCAAAATCCTGTCCAACATTCCACTACTAGAACCCTAACTTCGGGCACTGTTCTTTTGCCCAAAGATGGAGAATGATATGGAAGAATACGTACGGAATTGCGATACCTTTCAAAGCAATAAAGGCTCAAGTCATGAGAAGTACAGGATGCTACAACAGTTAGAGGTCCTCAACACTCCTTGCAGCTCCATCTCGATGGACTTTATTGTCGGCCTGCCAGGATCTGAAGCCCATACCCTCATCGGGGTTATTGTTGAATGCTTTACTAAAATCTCCTAGTTCATACCGCTCAAGACCGAGGCAACAATCAAGGAACTTGCGCATATATTCCTTCAAGAAATATGGCGACTATATAGACTATCCGAAGAAATCATTTATGATTGGGACTTTAGATTCGAAAGCAAGTTCTGGCATTTATTGATGAAGCTTTTCAGAGTCAAGGTCTGTCTGTCTACGGTATATCGTCTTCAAGCTGACGGGCAAACTGAGAGGGTCAATTAAATGCTAGAGCAATATTTCAGAAACTGTTGCTCCTACCAGCAGGACAATTGGGCAGGGTTACTCCCGCCAGCAGAGTATGCCTACAACATGGCAACCCAACAGTCAACTAAAGTATCTCAGTCCTACGTGAACTATGGGTTCGAGCCTGATTCCAATTGGCATTCACACACATGGAAGCTGGATAATGTTTATGTTTCCAGCGCCGTACTAGAGTCCAAGTGGAAAGTTCTTTGGAAAACAATGAGGACTGATATTTTTGAAGGACAGGCCCGGTAGAAGAAATGGTATGACCATAAGCATATGACAGCTCCGGAACCCAAAGACGGGAATAAGGTGATGCTGGACTGAAGCAATGTGGTTACCAATCGACCCTCAAGCAAGCTTGACTACACGAAACTAGGTCCCTTTGAGGTTGATGAGGAACTTGTTGTTGCGTTCTACAAGCTGAAGCTTCCCTCCTAATGGAACATTCATGATCTCTTCCAAATATTTCTGCTGGAGTCGTATCGTGGACTGAGATACCCTCAATGCACTGAAGTCCCTCCTACTCCAGATGAAGTCGAAGGAGTAGACAGTTACGTTCTCCAAGAAATAGCTAATAGCCGATGGCAATAGGCTGGGCGTTACAAAATATTTGTGGAGTATCGTATTGTTTGGGAGGGCTATCATTCAGAACACTCCTGGGAACGATGCGAAATTCTGGAAGGAAGAGCCGACAAGGCCTCAAAGAATTTCATCAAAAACACCCGCAAAAACCTCGGAAAATACGGTGAAACTCTAAGGGTCCTCAAAACACGGCGTGAGTAGCTCTGTATCCCAGAAGATATCTGGGAACAAAGACCAACTCTCCTGTACCAAGTTTTTCACCAGTCTGACAGAGCTTGGATACCATCTTTCCCTGGAAACAATGCAAGAAACGACAGAAAACCGAAGCATGAGGAAACCCGCCAAAAAAAAGGCAAGGGAAAAAAAGAGATTCTTGCTAACATCGAAATCCCCACTAGTGGAACGGAAGGTTCTACGACAAGAGTGGAGAATATGTCATTTTCTTTGTTTTTAAAAGGCATTTCATGTTAGAGTTTTCCTTCTCTGATGGAGATAGAAAGAGAGATGTAGTTTGTAAGTAATCACCAATAGAGCTACAGTTTTTCTTCTATGCCAAATACTAATATTCCAGTAACACTACAGTGGACTCAAAATGAGTCTACCACAGAGGGTAGTAATGTAACAGGGCAACTATGAGGCTGTTACAAAAGAACCTATTCCATCAGTTAAGCCACCAACCCTAAGTAACAGCAGCTTGTTCTTCATCGACGCGTGAAGACAAGGGCAGTTAGGCTCCTACCATTATTGGTATAGAGGACAGTGATCTCAATGAGTAAGAAGTCTTACAAGTCAAAAATAGGGGGCTGAGCAAGCCTGTAACAGAAGTACAAAGATGGCTGATCGCACAGGGAACCCCAGACGGGAGCTCCCTACCTAGGCAGTCGAATCTTTGAGGTTAAATGTCTCTGCAACTGACGCTCAAAGACCATGGTTTAGCACGACAGAAATGATTCTGGCGGTGTCCCGGAGCTAATGGAAAATCCAATTCCAAAAACATGTTTTAATCCCCAACAATAACCTCCGGAGTGTCAAACTGCCGGAATGCTCCTGTTTTGCTCCGGAGTATCTTTAGCAAGTGGGAGTACGACTCAAGTTACTAAAGCAAAACTTCAGTTTACAAACACTCAAATTGGTTCTAAAAAAGTTAGAATAAACAATTATTATCTGGTCGGCTGTTTCCAATAGTTCTTAGGATTCCGATAACAGATTTCAGCAAATTGTATGATTTGACTCGGACAGAAGTTCATCTAAGGTGTCGTAGTCACTCTCTTCTCCCCTGATAGAAAATAGTTGCTGTACCCTCAACTATCAACAGGCAGACTGTCAGTCGGAAAAAAAACTTGAGTAAATATGCGTATTCTTATAAGGTACTCAGTATTGCCCCAGGTTGGCCTCTCATCTTCAACGGATCTTTAATAGAGAGAAGACCCCTTATCGTTACTAATTTTCTACACTTGAAAATATTCAAACATACAAACTCCATTTTCTTCTTTCTGAACGAGTGTCATCATAACTCGCTCTCTTTATTTACACTACTCAAAAGTAAGTCACGGTTGTGCCTCATCATAGCATCCCAGTTACATTTGATTGTCAAATATCACTAACATGGTCATATATGCTTCCACCGTATTGGCTCTATCCATTCGATAGGACATGACTTCTCTAAAGTTGTCCGATAATCCCTCCACCAATTCGTCAATCTTGACTCCTTCGTTGTATTGCAAGTAGAATACATTTCTGTTTAACTGCAAATAGTAGGTAGCAAAGTCTCATTTACCTCACATCAGGGGGACGAGTTGTCAATGAGCGATACTTCGGGCAGTTTGGATCCCTAAACGAGGCTTCGATTTGGATGATGAAGGCAGTGACGGAGAAAAGGGGTCAGCAGGATTGATGTTGATAAGTGGTATAACCTAATCAAGAGAACTTCCCTGCAAACAGCTGACCAAGTGGATAACCTTCACAGCCTCATTGCGGAACTGATTATGGTTGACTTGGAGCTTCATTCGGAGTTCGGTAACGCATCTGGCAATTTTGGTCTGGATGCCATCGAATCTTTTTGGGAATGTTTAGGACCCAAAAGTGGAGACAGTGGTTGGTGGAGTAGCAACGAAAAGGGGGACAGGAATATTGAGAGCGGGGGCTGTTTGGTCAACATTAAGGTCAATGTTGATCTTAATCACTTGCTCTTCCAGGTGGTGTATGGTTTTGTTGACGGCGGAGAGTAGTGTACAAGCACTATCCCTCTCCTATCCGATGCTTCAAAATATAGTACCGAGGTGGTCAAACAGGGCAGCACTATCGTGTTCGTACTGCTGGTTAAACTACTCGATTTTATTAGGTGAGATCTGTGTAGGTGAGTTGAGGGTTGATATGGCATATGGTGCAGATGACGAAGCAACGTAATTTCAAAGAGTTGGGTAGCGAGTATTCCACAAGGTACGGGACGTGGTCGTGGGGGCTGATAGGTTAATCAGTGAGAGGGAATGAAGAAACTTGCTGCAGTTTAAAACTAGCAGAGTTAGGTCGTAGAAGTGCGATGGTTTCCTTATAAAGGAAGAGAAAATAGTACTTGAATAGCAATAGCCAACGTAGATTACCTAAGCCTTTGCTTACAAAAAGAAAGAGAAGAAAAGAGAGGGAAAGAGAATAGAATCGAGGGTAAAGCCCCTTAATATACATAAAGAAGCCCTAGCAATAACAAATCTAACGTGCCTCATACTCTTACAATCGACGGAATTCTCTAGAAATCCATAGAACATTTCTGACCAATTTGACCCTTTGCAATCTAGTGTATTAACCAATCGATCTATGAAGATCGGACGTGGTTTTAGGATCTGAATTGGGTTACACTGAGAATGCCCAGGCTATTAAGGGCTATACTGACCGCTAGTCACCTCAAATATGAAATTCTCAATCAAAACCCCCATAATGTTAATTCTAAAGGTTTGGGGGAATTCGGGTGCATACTATTAATTGGTAGTTGAGGCGGAAGAGATGTTATTTTGCGGACATCGTCAAATTCCTAGCCGTTTACAACAATACAAAATATCAGGATACACGTCATGAAAACTGTTATCAATTAAAACAATGAGTTTTAGAGATAAGTGCTGAATATTGTTCACTCTCAAGTTCAGAATATGATCATGGATTGTATGTATTTCAGAATGGATTGGGAAGCCGCAACCTTGTGTTTTGCGAGAAGATATTTTGCAAACCGTATTGCAGTATTCAATCTATTCAATATTGATCCAGAACATGGTATACCAATCAAGCCATCACATACATTGAGTATCCATTCCAGTATTTTACTGTACCAATAAATATTCATAGCTTTCAAACCTTCAAAAACGATTGTAATAAATGAGAATTTGAATTTCTAATACACTTGCTGTCCTAATAGGTATACATACTTATCAAAAGATTGTAAATAATACAGAAGACCCTGTTTGTCAATAACTGTTGAACTTGCTATTCTGATAAGAACGTATAAGTATGAAGCAATTATTAATAATATCAAGCAATTTCACTACTAATTACTGATTTGAACGTTTTTCTAACAGGTATCGACTCCTATTTAGTGTTGAAATAAAATACAGAAAGGTTTTATTGTCGGTATACACTTTACTTGCCATTCCGCTTTGTATGCATACATATCAAGCACTTGCCAAAAACCCTCACAAATCTAATTTACTATTCCTGACTGACATTGTGTCCCAACAAGTATGCATACAAATCAAATCATAGCAAACTATACCAACAAATCTCAATTCCAAATCCTGATCCACTTTTTGTTTTGATTGATATTTATACCTATCAAGCTATCACAAACAGTACTAAGCAGTTTCACCATTGATGTCTGCTTTACATGTTGTTCCAATGGGCATGCATATCTGTTCAGCGATTCATTATTACTCAGTAGTCTCTAGAACAATAATATGATACAGCCTGAAGACTGGTAATTACAAAGTTCACGGTTACGTATCGGAATTAGAAAGTAGGACGGAATGATGCATTGACACTTTTCTATCTATTTTTCTTCAAGTCATATTATTCTACTGGTACAAAACACAATTTTTGGTCAAAATGTAATACATCAATATGTTTTTGCTGGTGGTTGAAACCTGCTTGTAGGTAGTTAGGGTTATAAGCGTTGAAAGTTGATTTTGTTAGCTGTACACAATACAAAAGATCATTGATTTTGTTTGTGATGCTCCTGCAGTTATCGATAAACGTTTTGAAGCTGGAAATCATACGTAAAGAATTCCTCTGCGAGGATTGCTCGTATATATATATATATATAAATGCTGAGTAGAAATAAAAAAGATGCCACCCAGCTTCAGCTCTATCTACCTGACCGCATTCATATTCATGATCTCATTAAGCAGCTCAAGAAGCTGCTATGCCCTATCGACCTTGTGCTGGATAGAGATTACCGGAAATAGAAATACTGCGAGAGAACTGGATCATGGTTCATAAATTCCCCACAGTTCATACGCTGGCGTGATGGACAAGATCAAAAGCCTATCTGGCTAAACGGCATTCCTGGATGTGGAAAGTCCTACCTCATGGCAGCAGTACTGGATAATATCACAGAGCATCATGCCAGGAGTGGGGTTGGAATTGTATACTTTTTCTGCGACAGCAAAACCCAAGACTCCGGAAGACAAAAAATGACTTACATCGCAAAGACACTTTTATTTCAGTTACTATCCCAGCTGCCTTCATCTTATTTCGCAGATATGGCATTTTGCGTTCGCCAAGCCGAGGTGTATTCGAGCAAGGATGAGATGATTCCCTTATTATTCAGGCTTGTTTTCGAGAAGGTTTCGAAGCATTTCCAGAAGCTCTTCCTCGTTCTTGACGGGCTTGACGAGTGTGAAGATCTGCATGAGTTACACGAAATCTTGGGGGGGCTGCGAAAAATAGACACATCAAAAGTCCACATTATCCTTGCGAGTCGAGATAGCATCTGATCTCAGCTTTTGTTAATGTTTGAGAACGATATCGGCGTCGAAGATATACCTGTTACGACAGAGGAGGCTCGGCGGGACGTGGCCACCTTTGTCCGCGCTGAGGTTCGACGACTAGATTTGCGAAACCTTATGAATGAAGACGCGGCTGTCGAAGTACTACTCAAGGGATGTGATGCCTTATTCTTACTAGCATACTACCGTCTCAAAATACTCTCTGCAAACCGGGGAAGGATACGTACCCAAGAGGACCTTGACAAAATTCTTTCCACTCTACCGGCCGATCTCCGGGAGTTCTATGACTGGACTCTACGAAACTTGGAAATACAAGATCCTTCCAAGTGTATCCTGATGAGAAGGATATTTTTGTGGTTGACCTATGCCAAGCGTCAGTTGACCTTCAGGGCGCTATCCACAGCCGTCTCTGTGGGGTTTGGGAATGATTCGTCCGTCATATCTAGCCAACACCTTATCCCAGGAGGCCTAGAAAGCCTATGCGGTGGACTAGTTGTACTCATGCCCCGGAAAGATATGGAGTCAAGCGAAGACCTCGGAATCGTTGCACTGGCGCATAACTCGGTCAAGGAGTACGTGTCGGACTTCGCTCGGCATCAATCACCACTGCCCCTGTTGCGGGATTCTAGCGCTTGTAACTCGGAGATCGTTCAGGCTTCTATAGCCTACATGTATTTCAACCACGGAAAGCCCTTATCGGACTCTTCGTTTTTGGACTACGTCTACAGATTTTGGATGGATCACCTCTTTGGCACGAAGACGCCTACTCCCTCTCTAACAAACGGCCTCGTGAGGTTCTTTCCATCGGGCGAATGTCTTGCTTGGTGGGAAGCAACTGACAGGGACCTCCATTGGGGTATAAACGATATACATATCCTTCAGTCAGCATTTCGTTACTGGATCACGAAGGTTGCTCCGAGTGGTTCCAAACTGGGTCAAACCATAGAATTCATGACCACCCTACAAAAAAAGCAGCTCGAGGCCTGTGCCAAAAAGCATGGTAAAAGCCACCCTCTGTCGCTAAAGTTCATGGCCAACCTTGTCTCGACATATTGGATTAGTGGAAGACCTCAGGAAGCGGAATTCCTTGGAGCAGAACTAGTATCACGGTGCAAAAAAGCCAACCTCAGCAAGAGTCCGGACACTGTTGATGCGTTATCAGGGCTAGCCGAAGTATATGGTTCTTTGCCTCGCATGAGCCGTTTAGGATGGAAGGAGGCAGAGGATCTTCAGAAGCTCATAATTGAGACACGAACTTCAACAACCGCTTTGGGCGAACGTGATGCAGACATTTTAAAGTCCATGCTCGGTCTAGTAGTTATCTGCGGTAGGGAAGGGCGCGTGAAAGAGGCAGAGCTTTATACGCAAAAGGTGATCGATATTAGCGAAGGAATCATAGGAGATCTACAACAACCGGATGTCTCTAAAGAACAGATAGATTCCAAGGGCCTAGAAACAGCTGGGTGCGCAATAGCCCTCGTGAGAGATGATCCCGAGATCATTGAAATAATGAACACCCTGGTTTCAGCTTACGGAAATCTGGGTAAAATGTTGGATGCCGAACGCGTTGGACTGCAAGTTATTGCTAAGAGTGCAAAGGTATTCGGCAAAAAAGACCCGCACACGCTGTCGGCAATGGAGGATCTCGCAAATGTGTATGGCGGGCAGGGTCGAAGTGAAGAGGCTTTGAAACTGGGTCAAAAAGCGTTCGACACGCGCGTAGAGGTCTTATGCCAGGACCACCCCGACACCATCAAGGCAATGGGTCTTCTGATCGCTTGCTATATGTCGAAAGGGCACATCAAGAAAGCTCAGTATTTGGCAGTAAATCTGTTGGACATTCGCCGCAGAGTCCTAGGCAACGATAATCCATCCACGCTCGCTTCTATAGATATGCTGGTGCAGATACACTTGGAGCAATCGCAGTGGCGCGAAGCAGAGGGCCTAATTCGTGACCTTATAGCTGCTAGTACCAGGATTCGAGGTGCTGATCACCCTGAAACCTTAGGCGCAATGAATCGCCTTGCGATGGTGTACGGATACCAAGGCAGGATGCAGTAATCAGAGGCTATCTATCTAGAGGTGTTCGAGACGAGCAAGAAGATTCGCGGTATGAATCACCCATGTACTTGGGACGCCATGGATCAACTTGCTGCGGCGTACGCAGGATCTGCAAAATCGAAGGAGGCGGAGATCATGGTGCTGCGAGTGGTCAATAATCGTGAAGCCTTCGAGAAGCATACTCATGATGATACTCAAGTACTCGCTTCGAGGCTTCATCTCTCATAGATCTATGGGATGGAAGGAAGATGTCAAGATATGATCAATTTACAGGTCTTACTCCCCTTTAACCCCTGCTTGCCTTCTTCGAAAATACGCTATCACTGCTCACATCATATCTAAACCCGCTATTGGGGGTGTGGTCTGTGAAATCGTATTCTCAAAGGATCGGCCGCGAACATTTATCTGATTCTTCAGCGCTAACCCTCTATAGCTACAAGTGATGTCCACACTCGTGAACTCCCAACGCCATGAACACCAAACAACCCTTATGGTATCGGAAACTCTACAGTCGAGCTTTTGGAGATTGGGCATGTGGGAGGAGGCAGAGAAATATAACGAGATGTCAATAAAACAATGCATAAAGATGTTCGGAGAAGGTCACCCTTGAACTCTTGCTACAATAAGTCTCAAAGCAGCCACAAACTTCCAACTGGGTCGCTCGCAGGAAGCAATTGATATAATTCTGCGGGTTATTGAAACTGGCAAGCGCTCTTTGGGGGAAGAGTCTAAGGCGGTAAACCAAGCAATTGGGATATTGGCCTCAATACATACTGCAATGGGACGATGGAAGGAGGCGGAATATCTTTACAGAAGACTGAAAATACACTATATCTCTCCACTGGGTTTGAATCACCCATAAGTCACCAGATATCCGCGGACCTGGCGGTTGTATGCTGTGCTCAGGGTAGGTACAGATGGGAAGATACGGAGGACCTTGGCCTTGACATACTCGACCAGTTTCAATCAAGTATGGGCGGAAACCTGTTCCCTATTCTACAGGAGGAGGGTCAACTGGCACATGTGTACAGCGTTATAGGACGCTCGGGGGATGCTGAGGATCTGTATATGAGTTCATTGAGGAGATGTAAATTGGTCAGCCTCTCCGAGCATCATCCGCTCACTCGAAGGGTCATGGACGGCCTCGCCATTATCTATAGGGGTCAAGGCCGATGGAAAGAAGCAAAAGATATAGAGGTTCGCATATTGAATACACTTCGAAACGTCTTAGGCGATATCCATTCAGAGCCTCTCAGGGCAATGGCCAACTTGACCACTACATACTGGACCGTCGGAAGAGTGACGGAGGCCGACGCTCTCGGTGAACAGCTATTATTATCTTTAAAGAAGGAGAGGAGTGATGTAGATATTCTGAATGATTTGGAGAATTTGTGCATATATCCGGATGTGGCCCGGTGGAGAACGCAGAGCAAGGTACTGACGCAAGTCCTTTCCATACACAAAACGGAATTTGGTGATAATCATGCCAACACATTTGCGGCGCTGTCAAATCTTTCGTCTACGTATAGGTGCCAAGGACGATGGAAGGATTCTGCGGAGTTCGAGGAGCAGATCGTTTCAGGATTTACAAATGTTCTCGGAAAAGATCATCCATATATCAGGGGAGCAATGGATAGAACGCGTGACGTTGACGTTTGGAGGAGATCAAAAACAGGTGGACTAGGGGTTGCTATCACGAGATGGCTTATCATACCAATCAAGACTATGGGCCTTTGGTGCTGGGCTATGCCGATCCCCCTATTGGTGGGCTTTTGTTGGATCTCTGTTGGTCGGAAAACTATATCTTTTGCGCCAGGAATCATGAAATGGACCTTATTGCAGAGTAGGTGGAGATTGGATTGGGAGTCATAAATTAATATTGATTGGCTCCGGGGGTTAGCATTGGGTTATGTGTTAGAGACGTACTCTGTATTTTCCCTCCTCTCCTTGTTTCTTTCGAGGTGGTGTGAGTCATAAAGGGAGACTTCTATCTATTCTTTATCCGCCTGTCTATCAGTAAACTATATTTTGGTTTCTTTCTCTTCCTATCATTGAAGCTACACTCCCTATGTAGGAATATAAGTAGCAGTCTTCTTGCATTAAACTACGGATTCTCACTGCTGGTTGGGCGATGACAGCTTTTATGATTGGAGTCTTATGATCAGGAGAAACACTCCCTCGAGGGGTAGTTAGTTTACGGGGTTGAAACATGGGATATATATATTTGACCCCATAAATGATAAAAGACTCGTGAATGGATAGCCAAAAGTAGATGTAATCTCGCAGCCATACACGTGAAGCCAAGACCTTTGGTTAAAATTCGGCTTCGAGACTAAGCCAAATGGTATTTTGCCTGACACTCGCGTTATTATTGATGAGAAATAGACTAAGCAAGTGACGGTTACACTAAAGTAGATAGTCTTGGCGTTGACTTTTGTATAGAATAAAGTGATTGCTTAATTCAATATAAAGGGCTAACTATTAGCCCATGCAATACATGTACCTAAAGTCCATACCAGAAACCACAAGCCAACATCGATTACCATGCTGTATTAGGCATGAGACAAAATAAGACGGGGCTTAGACAGGTCTCGTAGAAACAATCCTCATTCTGTGGAGCCGGAGGGAGTCTTGAAATTGTAATGACTTAGGCAAGATAGATATCGGGGACTTATGCTTAATTATTAAACTATCCCTATCGATATATCACTAATCTACTTCAGGATTATTACTGAGTTAAACAAAAAAATACCTGCTTTTAGTATCTATACTCGAGTGATATTCTGTGCAGCCGTGACTGATTGCTGTTGTTGTTGTTGTTGTTGATTTATTTATTGTATTCAGCCCGAGGCTATGACAATTCACCTCCTCCCACTCTCCTCACCTGACCCCCTCCACTACTAAGTGAAAACCGCAAATAATATGATAAGAAAATAAAGAAGAAAATAAAGAAATAAAGGTAAAGAAAATAATTTCAATAAGAAAGTAACTATCCCGCATCTTTTTCATATATTGCTTGTCGCTTTGCTCCCTTTTCTGATCCACCTACTTATCTTTCGCTAAGCCGTATTTAATTGATTGACTGATTGATTGATTCATTTAGTAAATGTAGCTGTCCGCCTATGGCACTTCCCTCCACCTTCTCTCCTCGCCTCATCCCCTCAACTACTAAATACATAAAGGAAAGGGAAATAAACAATTTATTCGTACTCCTCAGCTTCCTCTATCCATCTGAAAAGGACGCCCCTATTTTTGTCTTCAGAGTGCTGATAGTCGCCGGATCGTCTCTTGAAATGTTCTCCTCCCCACATATTGAAGCCTACACAGCTCTCCTATTCTCTCCATTCTGATTTCACTAGACATACCCATCCATCACTTGTGATACCCTTCTGTGAGCCTTCATGCGCCCAGTTATCTTTGTTTGTGGTTGTCACTGCCATATTCTCTCTGTAATAAAACCACGCCTAATTTTACAAGATTGGGTCTTTCAAGTGTTGTACTTTTCTTATGCGGCCGTGACTACATGTACTTAACACCCAACCGCCGAGAATTGCTATATTTTTAAAATACTTTTCGGCTCCGTTTCCCCGATACCTCACCAAACTTAGTATCCCTACCTACGCTCGTAGCATCCATGCCGATCTTCAATTTCAAAACCATTAGATATCACTCGGTTCCTTAATATGCGCTAAACCCTCTTGGTACAATCCTACAACACGGAAATTTCTTTTCCGATGCAGCCGCCCAAGTTACACCAACCCAGGAAGCCGGACGGAGGCGCGCCCGCCCAAAAGCAAAAGGGAGAAAAAAGAAACGAATTTCCTGTGGTCCCCGCCTTGTTGCGTCAATCGACAAATCAGAATACCGCCAAAACTCGAAAAATTGGCTATCTCCGTCCAGGGATTACCACTTGAGTGATTGGTTGAATGGCATCGATCTGCACCAGAAGTTTCCCGTACAAGTAATTTTGATCTAGCCAATTTTTCGAGTTATGGCGGTATGGTGTGCGCACGTACTTCAATGCGCAGTGCAGTGATGTGGTTGGGTCGAAGGTCCTTATCGCCGACCTCAGACATTAAGTGGCGTCTTGGCGCCGTCGATTCATGCATGCTTCCCCGGAATGAGTGAAGTGAGAAGAAGCAAAAATTTAGAATTGTCCCGTATTACCTAAACTTGGGAACACTCGGCAATTTGTCTGAAGCTTCGTGATTGGGTGAGCGTAATGAGGAGTGAGAAAATCTGATGGTGGAGATGTTTGGAGAGATGCGGAGATGTCGATCCTCAGCGTGGGCTCAAGAAATTTCTTTTTGAATTTTTGAGTTGTTTATTTGCACTGTAGATCATATACATAGCTCCCAAATAAGGATTTCCCTCTGACAAGGACGTCTGGACTTGGGCATCTCGTTGCACTGCATATGCCAGCCTTATGTTATGTGACAGGGAATCCCAGACATCAGGTCTTTCATTAGTGGTTGATAGTTTGTTTTGTTGGCACCCCATCTCGCTATCTTGAAATGCTGATGTTAAAAGGGGATATCCCTCATGAATGCTGCGCTCGAGAAGTTGGTCTGGCGCGGCCGCTCATATCTACTGCGTCCTGGTAATGACTTTCCCCCACAGTTTCTACAACCAAACGCCCACAAAACACCACCGTAGGCTGGATATTTTCGATCGACATGGCGGCCCCCGCAGAGTATAAGCAACCTAAAGCAAATGTTCGGACAATCAACCCATCCCTGGTCAGGTCTACGAACCCAAACACGCCCATCTCGCCCCCATACCAAACCCCGGACACATCCATGGGCGAGCAGCTCCTCAGCGACCTCGATAGAACGAACTATTCTCTCGTCCTCGCAGCTGGAAAGGGCGACAAAAAAGCCGTTAAACAGCATCTCAATGACGGCGCCAACGTCAACGCTCGTATTCCCCCTCAACTGGGAAAATTGAACAATAAGCAGGACGAAGTAAGAGGGAATCCAGAGCCGGGTTGGCTGCTTATCTCAAGCTCTTTGGAGGGGTTAGTTAAGGTGGAAATGGCAAACTGTGAAAGAACAGCGCTACAGGCAGCAGCAGACGGAGGATTTAAGGATGTTGTGGAGCTTCTTCTCGATTATAAGGCGGATGTCAATGCACCTCCAGCTAGTGTGTTTGGAAGGACAGCATTGCAGGCGGCAGCAGGGAGTGGAAACTTGGGCATCGTCGAGATACTGGTGCTCGAGGCGAATGCCAACGTCAATGCGCTACCGGCAGAACAATATGGAAGGACAGCATTGCAAGCTGCTGCAGAGGGTGGTCATTTAGAGGTGGTGCGGTTCCTAATAAACTATTCAGCAAAGATCGACTCGGCGCCGGGGGAGAAGTTTGGGCGAACAGCCTTGCAGGCGGCGGCAGGGGCTGGCTGGGTCGATGTGGTGGATCTTTTACTAACTAAGGAACGATTCCTGGTAAACAGTGATAATGAGGATCCCGCAGAGATTGGAGGAAGAACAGCAATACAGGCGGCTGCAGCGGGGGGGCATGAGAGAGTGGTTGAAATGCTCATCGCAGCCGGTGCCGATGTCAGCGCCCAACCAGCTGCGAACTATGGGACAACTGCATTGGAGGCAGCAGCACGTGGAGGCCATGAGAAGGTGTTAAGGCAGCTTTTCGATGCCGGTGTCTTCATAGGCGCTGGTCCTTCCTGCACAATCCTTCACGATGCCGTGGATGATGAGGGCCGGTTAAGGATGCTTCTCCGCTTGTCCAAGTTCCACGTCAATGAAAAGGATCACCTAGGATCAACCCCACTCCATATCGCAGTCAAAAAGACGAAAGTGGCGTCGGTTAGGCTTTTGATCGACGCAGGAGCCGACCCGGATATTGTTGATATCTCGGGCGCTACGCCACTCCAGACCGCCCTTGAAAAGGGCTCTGAAGAAATCTTGAATCTACTTCTTCATAATGGTGCCGGAACGGATCAGCTGAAGGTGGACCGGTATGTAGACTTAATCAAAGATTCTGACATCACAAAGCAGTATGACGAGCGCGCGATTATCCTCCGGGAAGTGTTACCTCAACGGAGAGCTGTTGAGACAGTTCCTTGGGAGAGTACAGAGATTAAAGATCTTAAGGATGAGAGCTGGTCCTCGCCATCTATTTGTTTGTTCAAGTAGGTCTTGGATGCTCTTCCCCTGCAGGCCGAGGAACGATGATTTGACCATAATTATTCTAGCTCTGACGACAGCCGTGAATACTATAATTACGGTGGCTCATTTTCAGACCCTCGTGTGTACCTCAAGGGATATTACGACGCGAAAAGCCACCAAACCTCAGGATCAACACCGGTGGTGAGCTGGTCTTGGTTAACGGTCCAGAATAATCGAAACCTAGGCTCAACCTACCCTACTGTTTTTCAAGACGGAATTCCTAATAACCAGGCGATGTTATCAAAGTCCGACACAGGTAGGAAACGCACCCCTGAATATTGTTATAATAGCTCTGATCTTTCGTGATAGAGGTAATCCTTGTCGCCTACATCAGTTTTGGCGTACCCGCCCAAAGCAACAGTGTGACTACAGAGATGCAGTCATTTCAGGTTACCACTCGGAAAATCGACATCTCGTGGATGATGAGAGAGTTAGAAAGCGCAACAGAAAGCTTCCGGGAACCTCGCTTTCGAGCGGTAACATACGAAAAGTTCCGGGGATCGTTTATGCGGAGTGAAACCATTGAGAACAATATTAGAGGACCACCGCTCCGGTCAGCAACTTTCAACAGCACAAAAGGAGCGTTTGATAGATCGAGAGGATCATGCCTGCGATCTGTCAACTTCAGAGGAACACTGCGGGTCAAATATCTTAAGATCCCTCGCCATGGCGTAGAGTTTTTTATACTCTTCCTGGACTATGTGCACCTGAACTGGGAAGACCTAATAAAGGCAGCCAAGCTACACCTTACATATATTGTGAGTTAGAAACAAAGCTCCTGTCGTGTGAAAGGGTGATATTAACCTTTTGTGGCGCCACAGCGTGATGCACAGCTTAGGAAAGGTGGAACGGAACCCTTGATTACCGAATGTCTGCTTGAAGACAGTCAAAAATGGAACCGCTTTAACGCTGAATTGAACCAACAAGTCCTGAAAGCACAGGAAGTTCTCAATTCGTTCAAAAAGCACGAAGCACTCTACACGGAACTCGTTGATCCGGAGGACTGGCGAGAAAATCTTGTGGAGATGCCACAAATCAAAGATTTGAAGAAGAGGATTAACGATTTTGAGTCGAGCTGTGAGCGAAAGATCAAAGAACTTGTGGATGAAACAAAGATAATGATAGACCTTGTGATTACCCCGCCACTGCCATATTCTCTATAAGCTCTCTAACTCTGGTATGAGCATAGGAGTTTAGTCTTGTATCTATCGCTGAGGCACGTAGGTCAATTGAGATGTCTATGAGTATGAAAAGACTAAGCTGGATAACGGTATGAGCCTGTCTAGTGCAACTTTAGCTAGGGATCTTAACATAATCTACAGTTTATCTTTCTACCGTTAACATTCTGTTCTGTAAGCATCTCTCTATTCCTAACCCCCCATCCCCCGCCCCGCCGGGGAGAGAAAGGTGTGAAATGACTGACATAAGAATAGGGTCTCTTTGGGATGAACGTTAACGTTCTTGAACAAAATCCAAGCTGGTTATGGTATCCTGCAGTTGCAGTACCAATACTAGGCTCTGTCCTCATCGTTTGGCTTTTATTTAAATATATACCTGTTCGTGGCCCATCTTGCCTTAACGACGAAGGCTTGGAAATGCTGATCAAGAAGATATGTATACTTACAGGTTGGTATCTGGATCGAGCAAAGAATTGGAACCTGGATCGAGAAAAATATCGGTGCCCCCATTGAAGCGAAACTCATTGCATCACCTGGGAGGCCCCCTTTGTCGCCATATCGACAGGATGAGAACACAAACCCATGGGGGTTAGGCATAACACACTCCATGGAACCACTGCCGCGGTCACACGCGGCGTCTAGGTGGCAACAGGCATATCGCAGTCGCGAACGCAACCCTACTCAGTGGCTACGGCGCAAGACCAGGAGCAACCAAACGGGTGTCGATCATATTGTGGACGTGCGCTAGTCCAGGGCTTAGTTGGAAGTAGTGTCTATTATAATTTCTTGGCCTTGAGTGTTTCAACCTTTTTTTTTTTTTTTTTTTTTTGGTGGATGGGAACTACATGTGCGGCGCTTTTGATCATGTTTTATTTCAAAATGTGTTGCTTCGAACTGAACTATCCAGGGAGATAATGATAATATTTTGATCCTTGATCTGTCCGGCCTCCCCCCTCATCGTCATCTGAAAGTTCACCATCGGGGGTTAAAGCTACAAACTATTCCGGTATACAGTTGGGTTTACTATATATTCGACCCAACCCCGGACTGGCTCTGAATGTATCTTGAGACCTTATCAGCATATCCCAGACCGGTTACCACTAGTCAAAATCCTCAATTTTGATATAGCGTCGTGATATATATATATATAGTAACTAACTCTCGGTACGTGAGTTGTCTTCCAGTTCTTGTCGAGACTACCAAGTCCCTAAAACAAACTGTTTATCCAAGTTAGGGATTAAATACCGGTGTGATCTATTCGTCGGACGCTCCATCGTTAGAGCACCCAGACGTAACGCCCCGTTCGAGCTTCAAAAGGCCCATAGGGCCATATTTGGCTGGCTTTACTATTAACCTAGTCGTCCGGGGTATATCATTGCGAATTATGATAACTTGGATATGCAATACATCCATCAGAACACTGGTGGTCAAATTTCTAGGCCAGAGCATCTGAAACGCCTGGTGGGGTGTAAAAGTGCGTGATATTACAAGGCAGAGGTGACGGTCGTTGCCGTCTCGAGATAATGGAAGTTGATGTAGGGGGACGTTAGGTAAAGTTGGTCTATTAGGACACGGTGGTCTTGGGGCCGTGAGAGCCCAGCCTTACCAGTGGCCAAATTGCAAAGATCTTGGCGCCAGTGACAGAATGCAGAGCGCAACTTAGATACGTAGTCAGACCTGCAGGGTGTACTCATCAAGATTCAATTTCTGCAGCCACCGGTCGTGAGGCCCTCCTATATATATATGTGGGTGATGATTGAGATAGTTGTGTTTTGAGAAGGAAGGAAATTTATACGATCAGCTTTGCCCCTTCCGTTGCAATTTGTCAGATTCGATTGTGATTGCATGCGATCGAATGTAGAAGGAAAGATTCCGTCACGTCACTCTGCCTAGTGTGGTCCATGAGCCAGCTCGAGTCGAGCCGGGATATAAGCTCGAGCTGGCTCGGCTCGTGGGAGGCAGAGGCTCGCAAGGCTCGAGCTTTGGTGACAGGCTCGTAAACTGGCTCGAGCCTGTGATCAATGATATAAAAAACAGGTTATCCATACAGCAAATATAGATATAGTAAAATAATAAATATAAGCTTCATTTCATAGAGTAATACCGTGAAAAAGATTAATTATTTAAGTGAACACTCTAGTGGGTAGAAATCCCTTTTTTGCCTCCTTTATGGCTTCTAGAGCCTAGTTCAGTGAGCAAACTGAGCTTGAGGTAAGGCTCGAGCCAAAGCTCGAGCCTTAGAGAAAACGGCTTAAGCCGGCTCAGGCTCGCTGGAGGGAGAGGCTCACTGGGCTCGAGCCGAAAGTTCGAGCCTAAAGCTCGAGCCGGGCCGGCTCATGGACCACACTAACTCGGCCTGCGATGTATCCAATCGAGCTAGTGAAACGAGTGACCGCCCATGATGGACCCCCGGCAACAGGTATATGTTATAGTCCGTTGAGAGAAATTGTCTATCGAGGGATTTCTGTTGATAGACAAGTCGGTTGAAGGAAAGATTTTTATTGCGGATGAGCTAATCAGCTGTCAGTTCAAGAACTGACAGTAGGTGACGGGTCTGTCATTTCTTGAACTGACACTTCTGAGCGGGTCTGTCATTTCATGAACTGACACTTCTGAAGGGCTGATATTTCACAAACAGTCACTCGGGAATTGGTTGTAAGCGGAAACTGTGATAGAGCCTATTCCGGTCCTGGAGGGAACATGGGCCAGTAAGGAACGTTCCCAACAAGCCCCCGTAGGAAAGGAATGATTTTGTATTCCGGATCGCTAATCATGACGGAAGCTCTCAATGAGGTTTACAGGGCCCCGTTACCGTTTAATTCTGTTTGAGAAAATGCAGCTAACACTACCTAGTGTAGTAGTTTAAACATCTGACAACGTGTTTCACCGGGAAAGCAATCAACACCGGGAAAGCAACCGACGCCTTTTGAGGGTTCAAAATACAAGTTAGGAGTTCAAACATATTCGAGACCGATTTTTAGGTATTCTTGTAACTAGCTTTAACAAAATTTATTTGAAAACAGAGTAGAAAACTGTCGTTGATGTGTCCAAATGGGGGCCTAAAGAGGGCAGTTCTCCAGTATCGCTTTAGTATTATGACCACCAGTTCTCGAGTAATCAATGAATCTTAATGTTGGTTATGGGTTTAAAATGTTCGTGGATCATGGCCATCACGACTTGGAAGTTTCTATCGCAAGTAGGAATAGGAAAGTTCAAATCTTTCTTATTCACTCTATCTCTACCCTAACTCATCGTCCGCGTCAAGATTCTAGTTTCGTCGAGATCCGTCACTTGCCTGCATATTCTCTTGGTAGAGGTTTTTTTAAACAAAAAAGCCGAGGGAGCCTAAAGCCCACACATAAGCCCTCAGCGCCAGTCATCCGGTTGGATGACTTCCCGTAAGAATTTAGAAACGTTATTTAGGAGCTAGATTTTAAACCTGGATGAGAAAGCATTCCAGTAGCAACGAGTTCTATCCAGTTGTTGTTACCAACCTACAACCAATCACATTTGAATGGAGCCCTCCTCCCCTCAGTTCAGAACCCGAAAATCTGAAAGATTACGTTCTAAATTTTATTGCTCCAAACTCCATCCAGATCTCTTCTAAATCCCCACGGGAAGTCATCCATTGCTGTATTGACTGGTACCTGGCCTAGCGAGGCGCAGCAGTGCCCTGCAGTGCCGTACCTGTCTATTTACTTCCTCCACCAAGAACATATAAAAAAAAAAACGGCCAATTGATAGCGGACTGGTCTTTGAGGTGCACAAGGTGATCTATTCTGAAAAATCGGGTTGAGTTGGATAGCTGAAACAAGTGAATCAAAGGAGTCTCTGTTGATTCTGAACACTGATCAGAATACACGACTGTTGGCAAAAATAGGTTGATCGAACTAATTTTCAATTGTTGTGGCTTTGTGAAGCCTTGAAGTCACCCCACGAGGTACCCAATACCTTCTAGTCTTAAACAGTTCTATCATGTCGATGTGCGTGCTGAAAGGAGTCCCAGTTACAGTACCCGCTGAAGGAGAATGTAACTGCAAATCATCCGGCTCAAGCTCCTTCTCAGACTCCAACTTGAGGTCTGACTCAAAATCCGACTCAAAATCCGTAACGTTCCATCAGTACGATAGGTCGGACATATCAAGTCAGGGAACCTCTCTGCAACCTCCAGAGCACAAAGGCGACACAGAAGTTTCGCTTTCTCAGAAGATTCATGTGGCATCGTTAAGGTTGTTCATATTTTAGAGTTCTCTCGCAGCTGCTAACCTATTTTACAGATTATCAACACAACCCAACCCAACCCGACTCAACGGGTTCTCCTCAAAGTGTCAACCTCGGACAGGCCTTCTGATTCGCCAATAGGCTGCCCTAAAGGTCTCAACGCAACCCAACCCAGCACACGTTGATTACCACTAATCGGAAACCGAAGGAGACTAAAACCAGGTAAGTATATAAATTAAAAGTAAATACTAAACGTGAGACGCAAAGTATTGGGCCTCGATCAACGCCGGCCCCCATGAATACTTACTTGGCTTAATTCTACGGGGTGGGGTTCTGAAACCATGCACCGCAAGCCGAAAGATGTTTATACCCTTTGTGTACTGCCATGGCGTGGGGTGCGCACTTGGTGTTGCACCGATCGCAGATCCTTTCCGTGGGGACTGGTGCTACCGGTATGAAACCCGCGTTGATTAAAGCCTGTCGTAAGATGGCTTGTGTTTCAGGCGTCGGGGTAATGTGGTCCGGGACGTCGTCACGGGGGTCCTGACTGGACACCGGGGAGCTGGGGGTAGTTCGGGAGGACTCGGTGGACATAGACTGCCACTCTTCTTCTTCTTCTTCTTCTTCTTCTTTAGTATCACTCTGAGAGTTGACCCTGTATAAGGGGCAATCTCCCTGCGGGTGAGTCCAGTTACAGCCACAATCCATACGCAGCGGTCTTTTGCAGCCACACAGGATTTGCTCGCACTGGTAAATGTCCGTTTCCCCAAGGAGGCAGCAATTAATGAGCTTCCGGCGGGGTGGCGAGGGTACGAAACGTGAAAGTGCTGGAGGGACGGAACGGCGCAGCGGTCGCCTACAGCAACACAGGATTGCCTGGCACCTCTGAAAGGTGGTAACCCCCAGAAGTTCACAGTCAATCAAGGTGCGTGACGGGTCGAGTGGCGTCGGTACCGGAACGGGGCAGACGCGGTCCGAGAGTTTGAGGAAATTCTCCTTGGTGAAGCCGTGCGGCAACCAGGCGGGCCAGGACCTGACGGGCTCGGCGCTTCGGAGACGGTCGGTGATGGTGGCGAGGAGCTTGCGGGGTTTTACCCCAGCGAGCTCGGGGAGCGCGAGTAGACCGTCGACGATTTCCTGGTTCCTTCTGGTGACGTCAAAGTTCTTCTTGTTGGCGAGCTGGCGGCTCTCTTCTTCTTCTTCTTCTTCTTCTTCTTCTTCCTCCTTGCGGTCCCTGGCGGACAACGGGTACGGCGTGGCGGCGGGACGTGGCGGCGGCGGTAAGGAGGATCTGGGGGCGAGGTCGATCGCGATCTCCTGGTTATGCATATGCTTCCTCGCACTCTCCCGCTGTCTCTCCCGCTGTCTCTCCCTCTTCAGTTGCCGCTTCGACTTCGTCGCCCCAACTTCCCCCGCCGATGATCCTCGGCCTCCCAGGTTACCCGAATTACTTGCTCCCGATTCAAACATACGGCTAAATTCAGCATCATCTTGCATATCCCTCAACCCAATCGCAATCATCAGATCCATCTCCGGATCACCAGTTGGCGTAAACCTATACTCCTCCGCCAACTGCCGGGCAACAGCCTCTTTCAGTTCACTACGCCCTCCAGCTTCGTACCTTTCCCTGTTCCTCTTAACCCATTCACTTTCAGCCTCTATAAACAAAACTCAATTAACAAACACTCCCAAATCAAGCCAACACTCGTACCCAGCGCCGTGCCTTACTTGCCTTTATCAACATCATTCTCCCCCGAATTACCCGTGTCGGCTCTCTGCATTGCATCCAAGATCTCATTTCCTTCCGCAAGATCCTCACGCGTCATACCTAATCCATAAGAAGCCTGGAAATTGACGCGGCTACCCCAGCCGTCTTTCACAATTTTCCTTCTACTGGCGGCCATAGAAATTAACAATAGAACGTTTTCGGGCTGTTCCTGTTCGTGACCTGATCTTGATGAGTTATGGTAGGACGAGAGATGATGATTGATCGACTACGAGACAAAGCCTGGTTTTAAGGGTATGCCTGACCCAGATCTGAACCGTGTCCGAACACAGTTTCGCAAAGACTGCACGACAACGTCTATCCCGACTGTCAAAATCTAAAAACAAGTTAGCATCACCCTTTGAAATAAAAAGGTTCCTCAATAAACAAAACAAACCTCCAAAATTACCTTAGTCTCCGGTTAGGGGCTCGGGTTGATAGGTCTGCTGCGTCCTTGTCGGTAGATGTAAAGGTGATGGCGCTTCCTGGACGCAAGGGCTGGGACACACACCTATATATATATCTGGTCGAGATGTTACCCAAACGAACCCTGACCCTATCTGCAGCCTCGGTAGCACCCATAACTATACACTACATATCCCTGTTGGAAGATCGGCACAAATATCCCCGCGTCTAGTCTCCTGTCCAACATTGGATGCCTTAATTGATCGTATGAGTATATACAAGCATTTTCCGGCCTTTGGCCGGAGTAGGAACTGTTATGGCTTAAACAATATCAGTTTACCAACGCTTAAGATCACTGAAACCCCAAGATGCCCTGTGCACATATCTGATATACTATTTGGTTGACTCAAGGTATGTTGGAACCAATATCTACTGGCTGACTCAAACATATTTGATAGAATATCTACTAACTCCAACATATTTGATAGAATATCTACTTACTGACAAACATATTTGATAGAGAAAAAGAAAACCCCTCAAACCTGGCTAATCAAAACCTTTAAATAACACATTGCATATCGGTATATCTATATACTTATTAGATACATACATGTAGCTACATCGACTCCATACCAGCCCGCAAGCTGAATCACAACACCCTCCTGGGAATTAATATATATACCTACCTCGCAACACTTACAATGCTGTAAGGTGATCCCTATTGATTCGAGTGAAACTCGCAAAGACTAACATTTATATACCCCCGGCCTGGTAGATTGGAAGAAATGGGCATTACCATCATACGGTTCCCGAACCACAGCCTGCCGTTCTTTCTACACTACGCAGCGGATAACCCTATCGAGGCCGCGGACGTAAGCCTCCTCCTTCACACATCTGTGGCTGTCGGCTCTCACCTAACCCAACGTCTCTAACATGCACACTCGATATATATATATATAGCAAATCAAGGGGGGTATCGACTCGATTATCCGAGGAATGGAAATCCCCCACAAGGACTGGTTCTTGGTCCCGCTGCGTGGGACCCACCCGACCCAGCAGCTGATCATGCTCCACAATTGCTGCCTGCAACTGATCCTTCTACTGCTGTCTGTGCACCCAAATGATAATACCATCTTCTTTGTTCTGTGGACGGAGGATGCGTGGAGGACAAAGCAGGATCTGATGATTTATTTCGACGCAGGCTACGTATTCTGATGACCTTTGTTGGAGACTCGTCATGTCTTGTGTATGTACATGTGTCAAGTAGCAATGCCTGATCGGATTTTGCCCCAGAATATTACTTCGCTTCCTTCCTATAGGTCATTTCCGCGCACCTGGTACACATTTACCGAATAAGCTACAGTGAAGTTTCAGACTTGGAAACAATTGGCATTATTAGAACTGTGGTCTCCACTGACCGCACTGCCAATCACCAAAATCAAAAGAAGAGAATAGTCAATCTCAGGAGGCAAGAGAAACAACGTACTGGCCGTTTCCAAATGAGCGGAGGATGTAAGAAAATTGTAGCGCGACAATCTCGATCTAAGGCACCCAATTGCTTCAAGTCAAGACATATGACAGTAGGTTAGTCAATTACAAAGTACTGCAGCTGACATGTAAACTAACGTGAGCACCGAACTTTAAAAGTAGAAAAACTAAAGAGAAATTTCCGGCTCCTGCTGCGGCTTGTAGTGCTGTATCCTGCTGCAGTTTGTAATGCTCTTCGTCCTTCTGGTCCTGCGGGCTCCGCGTTCATATCGGCCACATTGTTCAATAACAATTCAACTATTTCCAGACAACCTCCTTCCACCGCTGCCTGTAGTGCTGTCCGACTAGCATCAACGCCTGGTTTACTACTGGTTCCGCCCCCATTGTTCAATAGTACCTCCGCCACGGCCAGGTGTCCCCCTTCTGCTGCTGCCTGTAATGCTGTTACCCCATCTACCTCCAGCTCAGTCGGGCTCAAGTCCACCTCCGAGAATCTCCTCCTCACTGGTTTCTAGCTCAACAATACCCAGGTGCCCTCCATGCACCCTATGGTACCCTTTGAGGGCGCAGAACCGGCATTTGCCTTTATACACTATATATATTTGATACAACGATCCTTCCAATATCTCCAAGCTGCCCTCGATCCTCTGCCGCTATAGCTAGGTAATGCCATTCCCGCCCGGGGATATCAGTTGAGTTTATATTGGCATCGACTGCTGTCAATTGATTGATGCACTATTTCCAAGTAACCTGCTTTGACCGCCGCCTGAAGCGCTGTCCCAACGTGCAGTATATTTGAAAGTTCCTTCGTGTCCCGGTTGTGAGAACCGTACGTTTGGCGGAGTAGCATTTCGGTATATACCTGTACCATCTGAGGAGGCCAAATCATGTGTTTGTGTTCTGTCCCATAGGTCCGACACTGCCTATCGGGCTCTCACTAGCCAACAGAACATCCCAGGCACCGGACGTAGGTCGTTTGGAATGATCCATCCGATACCGCTCAATGGGATGCCCTGTAGACTAGGGTGTAAATGTGCCCAAAGTGACAAGACGTATTATCACCCCCTTATACATCCTTCTGCCAACAAAATCACATGGTAACGGTCCAGGCCTCCCAAGCCGAAGTAAAGAAGGACCCTGATCAAGGGAAGATGATGTCCTTCCATAGGTGCAATTCACACTCGGGGGTAACAATTTCGAATTTCAGCTGCTGCAGATGGCCGCGGAAATCTCAAGGGGGCGAGTAGCGAGTATTCCGCAGAGTACGAAGGGTGTAGTAGTGATCGGTGTGGGAACTCGCAATAGGGGTCCCAAGGGTCTTTAGCGTTAGTAAGGGTCAACGAGACAAGGGGCGGTGAAGCGGTGGTCCTCTCGAGTAAAGAAGAGGAGGATAATATTGTAGAGTAATAGACAGCGTAGAGTAATAGACAGCGTAGATACAGAAGACGTTGTGTAAGGGAAGAAAGAAAGAGAAAAGAACAAGAAATAAGAACGAACCCCCCTGATATACCCAAGGAAATCCCAGCGATGACAAATCCCAAGTGACTCATACATGAACGATCAACAGAACCCGGTAGAACCTAATAGAACCTTTCTGACTAATCCAACTCCTCGTAACCCAGTACACTCTCTAGTAGATCCATGAAAGGAAAGACTCAATGCGGGGTCAAGATAGTGGCAGGGAATCGTGTATAAGTCAGCCAGCCGCTGGCCATTGATTTCCGTATTTTCGTTAATCTACAGTCTTGTGTCGGTTTCCTTCATTGTGCGCAAAGGTTGTATATGTTGAGGCTCTCTCAATTGTTGAGTGAGTTAGTATGGGGTAATAAATGATATCATGATGTATGGAGATCAATCCTGCTGGCCAGGTAACTTGGGAATACCTGCAGAGCCTTAATATGATCTGCCAGGAACTCTGCCCCACAGATGCACACCAACTACTCTAACGCGTGTATGAACCCCTACCACAGACAGTCCTGTCGCCCTCCACGCAGTTTAGGCGACCCCAGAGAAAGCCTCAAGATTGAGCAGCACACTCAGCTGACTGTCGGCCGCCGACAATGTACAATCCTACGTACAGGACTGCGCTGAATTAGGATTTACATGCCTCTATGGATCGCCGCTCCACAGAGCGTCGTTGCGGAGGAAGAGACCAGCCCGGACCTATACGAACAGGGGAGGAGGATAATGAGCTGATGCGAAGAAGGTCGGGGGACATTATCCCTGCTCTATGCGTTATACCAGCGTATAAGTAATCACGTTGTTCATAATGAGCTCTGTTTTCGTAAAGATTGGTTTGGCGCCTTAGGGAGATCCTTATAACGTGGGTCTATGGACGAGAGACTATAGTGCCAAGGAATACAACCGAGGCAAGGACATAGTAGAAGATATTTGTAACTATGGACTATGGGGCGGCTCTGTTTGATCTGACAGCCAGACTGAACCCTATGACGTAGCGTAGAACAAGAGTAATATTCGTGAAGTAGAATACAGAAGAAGAAGAAACTTATATTGCTTTGAAGTACAAGACTTATCGCACGCCGAACCAACCGCCTAAAACAAAACCGAACCGAACAAAACGAAAAAGAAAACAACGAAGAAGAACAAAACAAAACAAAAACAAAAACAAAACAAACACGAACAAAGACAAGGAAATCGAAGAGCAATACGCAACCAGAAAAACCCAATACCAAGGAGAACTAACATATCTCAGCGGACTCGAGCGCTGGATCCATCAAAGACAACAAGAAATAAACAAAATAAAAGGTAAAAGGAAACTGCCCTTCCTAGTCCCGCCTCTAATCATTTTCTTCCATCCCCTCTTCCAGGTCCGCCACCGCCTCCGCCGACTCGTACCATTTCGAGAGTTGAGATTTCTTTGCAAATTGTAGGATGAGGTCCGTATTCAGGTTTGTGAACATCCAGTTTTCCCAGGTCATCGCTCCAGGGATTTTCTCTATCAGGGGGGCGCGGATTCGAGCTCACGCTGGGCATTCCATAAGTGCGTGTTTCGCTGAGTTTTCCATACCACACTGGCATGGTTCGGGGTCTGTATGTACTGCATGTTTGTCGATTCGGGTGGTTCGACATCGAATTCGAAATACCTTTTTTGCTTCTGTAAGGGTAAGTTTCGCAATCTTGGGAGGGGGGCGGAATTCCCCCCGATGGTGGTAGTTAGGTATTGGTTGTGTATTCCATTTTTCTAACCGGTGGTCGCGTAGTAGTTTATTTTGGTTCCACTTATCT